CCTGGTTCTTCGCCAAATAAATGGCACTCTGACTATCACAATGCAATTGAACTCCACCTTGCTGGGCACCCAGCTCCTTGACTAAACCTGTAAGCCACAAAGCCTCTTTGGCAGCCTCAGCTACTGCCATATACTCTGACTCAGTAGTAGATAGTGCAATTATAGGTTGTACCATGGACTTCCAACAAATAGGTCCTCCCACAAGAGTAAACACATAACCTGTGGTAGACCTCCTGTCATCCAAGTCCCCTGCATAGTCTGCATTCACATATCCCATAACTGAAGGGTCACTCTATTGTCTGCTAAACCTGATGCCATAGTCTGTAGTCCCCCTCAAGTATCTGAAAATCCACTTGACTGCATCCCAATGCTGTCGACCCGGATTTGAAAGAAACTTGCTAACCACGCTGACAGCTTGTGCCAAATCTGGTCTTGTACAAACCATAGCATACATTAAACACCCCACTGCACTAGCATATGGGACCTTTGACATGTCATGAACTTCATCATCTGTCTTCGGGCACTGAGCGGTAGACAATCTGAAATGATTTGCCAAAGGTGTACTTACTGATTTTGCATAACTCATGCTGAACCTGTCCAACACCTTCTCAACATAGCTATGCTGAGATAGCCATAATCTCCTGGAAGCTCTGTCCCTGCGAATCTCCATCCCAAGAATCTTCTTGGCCGCACCCAAATCCTTCATGTCAAATTCTCTACTCAACAAAGTCTTCAACTTGTTGACCTCACTCATACTCTTGGCAGCAATCAACATATCATCCACATAAAGTAACAGAAAAATAAATGAATCATCATCAAGCCCTTTTACATAGACACAGCAATCATACTCACACCTTTTGTAGCCAATTCGGATCATGTAAGAGTCAAATCGTTTGTACCACTGCCTCGGAGACTGCTTCAACCCATAAAGTGATTTCTTCAAATTACAGACCAAATGTTCCTCTCCAGGGAGACTGAACCCTTCTGGCTGTACCATGTAAATCCGTTCCTCCAAGTCGCCATGAAGGAAAGCTGTCTTTACATCCATCTGCTCCAACTGCATATCTGAATGTGCTACTAGTGCCAACACTGTCCTGATGGAAGTGTGTCTGACCACGGGGGAGAAGATCTCATCATAGTCAACCCCTTTTCTCTGTGAGTAACCCTTTGCTACTAGACGAGCCTTGAATTTTTCTCCCTCATTTTCTGATACTGCTTCTTTCTTCTTATACACCCATTTGCACCCTATTGCTCTCTTCCCCTCGGGAAGTTTCACCAACTCCCACGTCTGGTTCTTATGCAGAGACTCCATCTCCTCCACCATAGCACCCATCCATCTACTTTTCTCTTGGCTTTGTACTGCCTCCTGAAAAGTTGTAGGATCCCCGCTACTAGTAATAAGCGCATAAGAAACCAAATCTTCAAAACCATACCTGGTAGGTGGCTTGATATTGCGTTTGGGCCTGTCTGTGGCTATACTATGATGTTGTTGATCACCTGAGATAGAACGCTCTACATGCTGAGCATCCTCTTCTTTACCATGATTCTCTAGCTCCACCTGCACCACATGGTCATTAGTGCTACAGTTTTCTGGTACTTGTTTCTCTTCTTCCTGAGTACGCTGCAACATGGCTTTTTCATCAAAAACCACATCTCTACTGATCACCATCTTGTTTGCCTTCGGATCCCAGAGCTTGAAGCCTTTCACTCCTTTCTGATATCCCAGAAAAATACACTGTTTAGACTTCGCATCAAGCTTCGACCTCTCCTCACTAGAAACATGTACATAGGCTGGACATCCAAACACTCTCAAACCAGAGTAGTCTACTTCACTGCCTGTCCACACCTCCTCTGATACTTTCCCATCTAGTGCTGCCCTCGGTGATCTGTTAATCAAGAAACATGCCATATTCACTGCCTCTGCCCAGAAATTCTTTGCAAGCCCTGCATTCAACCTGAGACACCGAGCTTTCTCGACTATCGTTCTGTTCATCCTTTCCGCTACACCATTTTGTTGTGGTGTCTTGCGGACTGTGAAGTGTCTCTTGATCCCATGCTGCTCACACAACTCCTGGAACTTTGAATCTGTGTACTCAGTACCATTATCTGACCTGAGGCATTTAATCTTCCTCCCTGTCTGGTTCTCTACTTCAGTTTTCCATAACTTGAACTTGGCAAACGCTTCTGACTTGTGCCGCATGAAGTACACCTAGACCTTTCGTGAGTAATCATCAATGAAACTCACGAAATACATGTATCCTCCCCGTGATAGTACGCTAACTGGTCCCCAAACATCTGTATGGACATAGTCGAGAACCCCCTCTGTCTTGTGTGTGGCTGTCTTGAACTGCACCCTATTCTGTTTTCCAAAAACACAATATTTGCAAAAATTGAGCTTGCATGTCTTGACACCCTTCAATAGATTTTTCGTATGAAGCTCTATCATCCCACGCTCACTCATATGACCCAGCCGCATATGCCACAAGACTGTATTATCTGATTCAGACTCTACAACAGCAACTCCACCTACAATTGTAGTACCCAGCAGTCTGTAAATGTTTCCTACTACTTTCTGTCCCTTCATCACTGTCAGCATGCCTTTACTTACTTTCATTACTCCACTTATAGATTTGTAACTATAACCATTACAATCCAAAGTGCCCAATGAAATCAAATTCTTCCTTAGATCCGGTACATGTCTAACATCACACAACGTTCTAACCATACCATCAAACATCTTAATTCTAATATTTCCTATTCCAACAACTTTGCAAGATGCATCATTACCCATCAGAACAGAACCAGAATTTACTGACCTGTAGGTGTCAAACCAATCTTTGTTGGGTGTCATGTGATAGGAACATGCTGAATCCATAATCCAAGAATCTGTTAAACGATCTGAACTAGATAAAACAGAAAGCATATCTCCGTCACCACTCTCTGAATCTTCTTCTTCCACTACGTTTGCAGACTTTGATGCACCCTCTTTGTTCTCTGAATCCCCTTTCTTTTTCTCTGGACAGTCCCGTTTAAAGTGCCCCTTTTTCCCGCACTTGTAACACGAGACAGAGACGTCCTTCTTCTTCTTCCTCGACTTGGACCGGGCTTTATTGTTACCCGATCCATTCCGAGATTTGCTTCTTCCACGTTCCTGGTTACCCTTCACCACAAGCCCTTCACCTTGTGAAGCCTCATCACTGGCTTTCTTCCGCTGATGAAAACCTAACAGAGCACCTGTGACATCCTCCAATTCTAGGGTTTCTTTCCCCCACATCAGAGTCGTAACCAAATTCTCGTACGTAGGAGACGCCGGTAAGGAATTCAGCAACATCAACGCCTTGTCTTCGTCTTCGAACTTCACATCAACTCGCTTCAGATCGCTGATGATCTGATTGAACACGTTGATGTGTTGGGTCAAATCCGAGCCCTCTGACATCTTAAGACCATATAATTTCTGCTTAAGATAGAGCTTGTTCGTCAACGACTTGGACATATACCGACTTTCCAGTTTCAACCAAACTTCCGCCGGTGATTCCTCATCCATGACGTGATACATCACTTCATCAGCCAGACAAAGCCTAATAGTCGCCACAGCCTTCGCTTCCAATTCTTTCCAATCCATGTCGTCCATTCCTGCCGGTTGTTTTCCGTATAATGCCTTCACCATGCCCTGCTGCACTAACAGGTCCTTCATCCTCCTCTGCCATAATCCGAAATTCCCAGTTCCGTCGAACTTCATGATGTCGAATTTTGTAGAGGAAATCCCAGACATCGTAGTCTAGCTCTGATACCAATTGTTGTGATCGTGCAGCAATTATGGTGAATAGTAAGGAATCAAACAATTAAGAAAGCAGGAGAAAATAACACACAGAGATTTACGTGGTTCGGCAATGTGCCTACATCCACGAGAGCGAGCGGTCGTTCTTTTCCATTATAGAATAGGGTTACATCTTAAGTATTTATATAACCCTAATATGGACGTATTTACAAAAATACCCCTGTACCGTACCGCGGGGGCGTTGCCCCCGCACCCCCAACTAATCAACGTCCCCTTTATTTAAATCCCGCTCCGGCATCTGCCTCCTTGCCATTATGCACACAGCAAATATGAGTCACACATATTCTAACTGTGATCTATCAAGGAGAGAGAAAAAAGTATCGAAAGACGTCTGGATTCAATGTCACTGACCCAAATAACTAGTATAAGATTATGTAGAGTTAGAATATACTTATCATGAGCCTTGATGATGCTTTAACACTAGATGACCCAAAGATTTGTTGGTCAAGATTGATCCCTTGGTGGACCATATAGAATTGAGTTAAGTTTAATAACCCAATTTTTTCCCCTATGGATTCCATCTTTTCTGTAAGATATTAATATCTGAATGGCCAGTGTTGATTAAAACAGATAAAGGTCATCATGAGGGAAGAAGATGCTTGGAAATTACTTTTTCTCTTTTCCTAATTGTGGATACCAGATAACATCACTACCAATATGTACAGGAATTTGCTTTTTCAACAGAAGTTTTTTGTGGGATTAAACACCAAATTAATTACCATTCCTTTGTATCTTTATTCCATCCTTGCTGTTGTTTAGAACTTATTTTCTAATTTATGTTATTTGCTTGAAAGTGCGGTTTGAATCCATGCTTTTCTCAGTGTAAAAGCGTATTTGTACAATAGAATTTCATTAAAAAAACATCGAAAACCAGTGTTGCAAACCCACTTTTAAGTTGGAAAACGTGAGTTTTTCAAACTACACTTTCATATAAACAGCCGTGCTGGTAAATAAGTTTTGAACAAGATAAAGACGAAACAAAGCTGTAACAAAGACGGTAGAAGGGTGAAAAAAACTTCTTGTTTGTATCTACACTTAACCTGTCAAATTCAATGCATTATAGTCATAAAGGAAAGTATAATTAGTATTAAAGCAACAAAAATAAATAGAGGAATTAAGGGTTACTAATAGAAGTGCCGTCTTACACCTTTATTCCATCAACATTTGAGTGTTCAACCACTACAAATACATGATGCTGATCTCTGAACTCCCACATCCTTGGTTTCTCTTCCTTTGGAGGAAAAAAATGGTTTCATCTTCTCCTCCTCCACATCCAAAGGTGAGTATGTAATCACCCTTCTTATGAAGCACCAGAGTAACCCCTTGAAGTTGATAGTGAATTTGCTGAATTTTGTTGTTTTTCTAAACACTTGCAGGAAGTTCCATCAGATGATCAATGGAAGGACGACGCTCCCCCTCGAGAAGCCAAATGGTGGTATTCGACTTTTCACACTGTCACTGCCATGGTTGGTGCTGGTGTTCTCAGCTTGCCATATGCCATGGCCTACTTAGGATGGTAAAACCATTCTTTGGTTTGCTTCTCGTTTAATGTTTTGTTGAGTGTTAGTAGGCAAAGGAGGTTTTCCTGCTCATGGGTTAAAGATTCAAAATTTCCTTTTAGTTCCACTGCAACGACCAAAATGTTTTGGTTTCAGTGGAAATCAAAACGAATCAAAGTTTCCAGAGTGTTTTAGAATATTTCGAAATGTTTCAGAATGTTTTGGAATCAGAATTCCAAAAATTTCTTCCCTATTTCCACTCTTTTTCCAAAAATATTTCCGTTGCTGAGATAACATGAACTATGCACCAAAACAAATTTTGAATCCATGGATGGGATGACTCGAAGGAAGTCTCTTGGTCTTTTAGCAATAAACTTCACTGAATTATTAACATCTTCCTAATCTCTATGTTTTGGTAGCACTAAAAACTCTCTCTCCCTCAGGGGTCCAGGGACATTGGTGATGGTCTTATCTTGGTGCATAACCTTGAACACAATGTGGCAGATGATACAGCTCCATGAATGTGTGCCCGGTGTTCGCTTTGATCACTACTATCACCTTGGCCAACATGCCTTTGGGCCAAAATTAGGGGCATGGATAGTACTCCCACAGCAGCTAATTGTCCAGGTTGGTTGTGACATTGTGTACATGGTCACTGGAGGGAAGTGCCTCAAGAAGTTCTTGGAGATAGCCTGTACCAATTGCACCAGAATTAGGCAATCCTATTGGATTTGCATCTTTGGTTCCATCCATTTCTTCCTTTCTCAGCTCCCCAATTTTAATTCCGTTTCTGGTGTTTCATTGGCTGCCGCAGTCATGTCACTATGGTACTTTTCTGTCTTGACTTCAACTTATGAAGGCTTGAGTGTGAAAGAACTTACATGAAGTATATTTGATTGTTGCTGATTGCTTTATTTACCTTTGGAGTCAGAAGGTATGGTTAAACACATGTAGGTTAAGTAATGATCTTCAGATCTAGTTTTGGAGATGATGATGAAGTTTGTAGAAATTATCTTCTAGATAGTATACATGGTATGGTTGGTCATAGGTTCATTTTGATAAACTGAGAAAGGAATTCAAACTTTGAAGTATAGGGGTGAGCAGAGAAAGTTCCAAATGCAAACGATTCGTATCCAAAAAGATAACTATGTTATTCAAACATAATAGCAAATTTACAAGTACTTGGGATCAATCCCTCGCACCTTTTATGAGACTGATAGAAAAAGACGTGGTAGTATTGAGAGTAGTGAATTGATGTTACAGACTCCTACCATATCAATTGAAATTTTTTATCCTCCATGCAGTTATTCAACTATAGCTTGGGTGGGTTGCTTGGGCCGAGGGAGGATCGACAATGTGAGCTATGGATACAAGAAAACTAGTGGAGCTGATTACATTTTTCGCGTCTTTAATGCATTGGGTCAGATATCATTTGCATATGCTGGTCATGCAGTGGCACTCGAAATTCAGGCCACTATTCCATCCACTCCTGAGAAGCCCTCAAGATTACCAATGTGGAAAGGTGCAATTGGGGCCTATTTCATCAATGCACTCTGTTATTTCCCAGTTGCTTTCATTGGATACTGGGCATTTGGACAAGATGTTGATGACAATGTGTTGGTGGCACTTCAGAAACCTTCATGGCTCATTGCTGCTGCAAACTTAATGGTGGTGATTCATGTTATTGGCAGCTATCAGGTATGATTAACAGTCAACCTGATGTAACTATGTTAATACATACATATTGATATATGCATTACATTAGTATCATTCATAATTTCATATACAGAAGTATATGTATAAACAAGGTATATTATGAATTGACTTAGAAAAATAAGGTTTGTAGGTTTACGCGATGCCAGTGTTTGACATGCTGGAGAAGACTATGGTGAAAAGGCTGAATTTTCCGCCAGGACTTGCACTTAGAATCATCGTTCGTTCTGCTTATGTTGGTGAGAACTATGTTACTACTCTTACAGCAGAGAAATATGTTACTAATCTCTGCTGTAGTAACTTATAAATTATGCAAACAAAAATCCATGAAACACAGACAAAAAATCTATGTTTTTTTTTTATTGACATGCTGATAGCTAGCTCTCATGAGTTCCTTCAATCTTTTGCAGCATTCACTTTGTTCATCGGTGTCACCTTCCCTTTCTTTGGGGATCTTCTTGGTTTCTTTGGCGGTTTTGGTTTCGCTCCAACAACTTATTTTGTAAGCACAGCTTTTGCTTTGGCTGCTCATTTGCATTCAAATTACTAATTGCGAATCAGTGAAGGAACCAACTTATATTGAGAATTGTTGCAGCTTCCTAGCATAATATGGCTCATACTCAAGAAACCGAGGAGATTCAGTATCTCATGGCTTATCAATTGGGTAAGAAACATTGTCAAAACCTCATCTCTCTCTCTCTCTCTCTCTCTCTCCCCGCCCCCTTGGATTAACAGATGACAGCATGAGTAATGGTCAAATGAATCATTAGGTTTCTTTAATTTGTTACCCAAAAAGTGTTCAAGAGCAGCTTCAAATCATGTTGACTTTCAAATATCTAATTCAAATTCGGCTCATTTCTTTCTTTTCTTTTCTTTTTTTCAAAGAGGAGCTAAGCTTGGCTTGGTTCACCCCAATCGAGCTAGAGCTTATGTTCAAGCATAAACTCAAGTTCAGACTTGTGTTCAAAGTTAAGCTTGGCTCATCTATATATCTACACAATAAATATTGTGTTCTATGAGATATATATGTTACAATATACGATCCTAACGAGCCGAAATATTGACAATCAACACATTTATTAAACAAACTTTAAAATTGAGCTCAAACTCAATTCTCTTAATAAATAGTGAACTAGAATATGCATTTATCAAATCAATCCTGAATTGAGTTCTTTTTATGGCTCTGAAAATGAGCATCTAAATACATATGTTGCCTATAGTTTTTTTATTTATTAAAAATAAATGATTTTGTGCAGGGATGCATATTCATAGGAGTCTTCATTATGGTGGCATCAACTATTGGTGGTTTGAGGAATATCATTGCTGACTCCTCCACCTATGAGTTCTACTCATGAATAATGGCACTCGTGGAAGATGTAATCAAGTTAGAATGTGCTTGTTTGTGGTTAGTTATGGGTTTCAGTCTAAGAATTATTCTATTTCAGAATCAGAGTAAGTTTATCGGCCAATTATCTCTCACAAATTTCATTATAAGCAAGAGTCTTATTTGCAGGTTACGAACTTTTTAAAGATAAATTTATTCCAATTTGTTTGACACAAATATGGATCGTAATCTGCACTGTTGTCACCCATAATAACAACAAAAAAAAGTTCTAAAAGATCTTATTTGAACTAGATTTAGGGTGAAATTCATAAGCTTGCACAAATACTATAAATAATCAAAAGGGCTCCTTCGAAATTTGCACTCGCGGGTTTGAACCCGAGAATCAAGCTCTCTAAAATATGACTTATTTTAATCATATAGTAAGCTTGGGTATGATTTTTTTACTAAAAGAATCATCTTGTAGTGGAAAAATATTTAATAGAATATGAATGATCGGCACGAGATATCTTAACACCTTAATTTGTAGTGGTTGATTGATGTTTATGGCACAACCAATGATTGGTCTATTCAACTTTAGATGGATGATTTCTTTTTCTCCTTCTCCTTCTTTTGCATTGTGATTCCAAGTATGCTGTCACAAAGCACCTCCATGATGAACCATCTTTAGTGCCAAAAAGTACTTTTTTTTGCACAATACTTCAACTTTTCATAGCCTTATCCATAAATTACAAGTATCTTTTGTTTGAGCTTCCTCATTTATAACATATTTTAACAAAACCTATTCAACCTAAGTATCCCTAATTCCCTATGGTCCTTGTGACTTTGCTTTATGGGAAAGGCTATAGTATTGAATTTTTTGTTTTCGTATCATACTAAAAATTATGTTATAACATTTTTGAACTTCAAGTTACAATTTGTAAAAAGCATCATTGATTATGAAATATTGCGATCAACACCGAAAGTTGTAACTTTCAAGGTTAAGTTATAAGTTTTAAATGTCAAATTACAGCTCATAAAAGAAAAGTTACAAGTACTCAAACGCAGTTCATGATCGATAATGACTTCTTATTTTAAAGATGTAACTTTACTATAAAAAATTATAACATTTAATACCGTAGACTTCCATTACTTTAGGACTTGATTACGGTCTCCAAAAAAAAATTCGAGACTGTATCTCCAAAATTTACTATTTTAATGAATATTTTTATAATTTTTGTAAATCATTTCACAACAAAAAAATTTACCACTAGGATCGACTACAAGTACCACAAAAGTCATAACAATAATAAAAACACTCTAAAGTTATAAATGTCAATACGTACCAACTTTTTTTGAGTACCATAGATAACTTATTTTTGGATACGATAGACAACTCCATTAAGTAATCATGGTCTACACTTCCATCAGTGACAAACGAGAACTCGAGCAGAGTTGAGTTTAGTGATGAGTCCTGTACCATCACCTCACACCTCTATGAACACAATGTACACTATAGTGCTTGCCTTGGTTTTTAAACTCATACCATATCACTGATGGACAATTTTTAACGATTTGCGTGGCATCCAATTTAACATGGGCTATGTTTCTATTAAAATCCAAGAAGGACCGGAAAGGTCGGTTCAAAGGTTGGTTCAATAATCGAATAAGAGACAAAGTTAAACCCACATACCTGAATTTGACTTTCCCCTAAACACATAAAACCCAGGCTCAACAAATTTGCATGATATGCTTTTTGAGCATTCGAGGATTGCATTGCAACCATTAAACATAAATTCAAAAGACACGTAATTGAGATAATTTCTAGTACCAAAAATTCAACAAGGAAAACGAATCCAGTAATTTCTGCTACATAAGCTCAACAAGAGTGGATTAGACAACCATAACTAGGTGTAAACTGGGGAAAATACTTCTTCCCATGAACCCTATCCAGATATTAATGCAGCCCAGCAATAAGAAATCAAAGTGATGTTTACACAACCAAATTTCATAGAGCTAGACTGTACCAAACGATGCCTCGTGCCTGGAATGGACTCACAAGATTTGTACACAAGGACAAAGTTAAGAACGCTATATTGTCGACAGTACCGAGAATAATCAAAACACTGGTTAAATGAAACCTGCTTCGTCAAAAACTGTATCCTTCTCTGTAAGCCACGTAGATATCTTTCTTTCTCTATATGCAAGCACAAAAAAGAAAAAAATGAAATCGTGCAGCGTGCCATAACCGGTGTCTTGTCTATGTTTATGCTCATGGATGTGTGCTTTGCTTGCACACAGGCATGAGTGTGGATGGGTCACCATGAGTAAATATCAGCATGAGAGAGAGAGAGAGGGAGAGAGAGCAGGTGAGAGTTATCTGTCACCAATTCTTGCAATTTGAATGGGCATTGGCTCAGGTAAAAGATCTAGTTGTTTCCAGTGGACTTCTACAAATGACCTTATTCCATGAAACTTAGTAAGTTAGACCAGGTCGATCATTATTCTAATAATACTAAAGTGAAAGATATCAGGTTACATCATGATTCAACGGTAGAAAGGAAGGACTGGACCCCAAAAACGATGAAAAGAACTCCACCTGAGAGAGCAACCTGCATCGGAATAAATACGCCTTCAATTTCCCAACTTCATAATCTGTTGTAAATACACCTTATGTACCCAGTAGAAGAGCAAAAAATACATGATACATGAAGTAGCATGCAAACAGCATATGAAAGAGAAGTTAATTACTATTCTCTCAGATATCTGAGTTGCCAATCTCTTTCCTCCCAGGACTGCAGCCGTAGTACACAAAGCTTGCCCTCTGGTGAATGAAATAAGAATTCAAACATTATTTGTATGTTTTAGTTAAATGAATGTGGTTTTACTCCAAGCAGAAAGGCAATATCATGACAAATCATTATGCAATGCAGTCATGCACAGGAGTTTACTAGGACTGACATAATCAATTGAGAATTCAGAACCAATACTGAGACAGGTGGCATGGTCCCGATGAGGGCCCTGAGGCGATGACTGACCAAAGCTTGATGTTTGTTCAACTGAAGAGAAGGCAGGAGCCAAGGAAAGAATTATGTTGTCAATATGTTAGGCCCATCCCAGGATCTGAAGGGGCCAAAAATTTATAGTCAAGACATTTGCAGTCAATCAATTTGCAATTGTTATTTATTAAGGTCCCAAGAATCCAATTCAAGTGATATTCCTGGCTTTGTCCCCAGTTGGGGTGAATGTGTTGGTGTAGTCCCAGGGGACAGAAGAGTGAGTGAGTGACACAGGCGGAGCTATTATCAGCAATTATCCTTAGCCAAAACAAAGAAAACGTTTGTCACATGAGGCAAACGACTTATATCACTAGTAGCAGGGGTCAAGGGAATAAAGAAATAGGGCCCATGGAACAGCACAACAACTCCAAAAAGTAGATGGAGAGAAGGTAAACTTACAAGATTCCACCAAGAACAACACCGAACGGATTCTCATCTGCTGCCAACCCAATGGTAGCTAGCTGAAATATTAGTCACCCTAGGTGTTAAATAAGAATTAAGGACAAAGTGATGCTGTAATGTAGAATACATGCATATATATACCAGTCATTTTATGTTACTTACCTGGCTCCTGTCACCCCATTCACCAAAGAAAGTAATGCAAAATGCCTGCAGGATAGGCATGCTATACCTAATTAAACAAGTACTTGTAACATTTTGACTTTGTCGAATAAGACAAAACAACATAGGAATTAAACCTTCAAAAAGATGGGTGAGAAGAAGTGAGTGAGGATTGGCCGCCTCTGCTTTTTCAAATCATCATCAACCTGGAAGATAATAATATAAGAAAATATCTCAAAACAACAAACTCAGCTATCAAGCAAAAAAACACATCTCATATCCATTATGTCATTGAAAAACGAAGACAACTAGTGAGGAATTAGTGAAGGTTCATGTTGTATTTTTCAGAGCTTTCTTTCATTGTCAGGTAATAGGGAACTCAGAAAAATGCACATAAACTGCAAGTTTGATTTCTGCTTCCCAAGACATATAACCTGCGAGTTGACTCTTCTTCACTTTCAGCTGCTTCCAAATAAGACGAAAGAACCGTGAAAATAAAGGATTTGGGTGTCTCTTAACAAGATAAAAACTCATTTTAATGAAAGGCATTATTTCATCAGGAAACTTGATACCAAATGCTTTATGCATCACAAAGGAGCAGGCTGGCTGTATTCTCAAAAGCAGTTACCAGATGCCTATCTAGAAAGTTTTGAGTCATCTAAAGTTTCTAAGCTTTTGCTTTGCAGGAGGTTATTGAATCTGTGAGAAACCAGTAAGACTTTGTCAAGAAGAGAAATCCACGTTTAAGAGGAGAAACAAAATCATATTTTCCAACAGAAAGAAGCATGTGGATTCAAGAGAACCATTTAGACAAATAAAAATCATTCGTGAAGACATAAGCACGCTACACTTGCCATTAAGCTCAGTCCTGGAAAACAAGGGCATGACATGATAAGATACAACATGAAGATATATAATTTCCACACATAAAATGGTAGTCCTCTCTTGGAATAGACTGCAACCAAGAGACATGAATGGTAGTGCCTTGGGGGATATCGTGGAACAATATTCTGTAATAAACAAGTAACTCCCAAGAATTCTATGGCAACACTCCTAGCATAATATCATAAAAAATCACAACAAAGTAAAGAGCTTTACATTAGCATTTGAAAATCGCCAAGAAATATGTAAAAATATAGTTGCTTCAAAAGGTTTTGAAGTAAGGCCCTTAAGTTTTGACTTCTAAGTAGCACAGGGTCATATCTGTTATTCTATTTATCACTAGTCCAACATATGATCATTCCAAAAATTATCGAAATTGTGCACATATGGTGATGTTTCCAAACTCCAGTTCCAACTTGTAATTTTAAATACCACACGAAAATTTTCATTAGCTTACCCTCCGGGGAAAAAGATCAACTGGTTCAAAAACCTGGAATTTTTAGTTAAACTTGGTCTAAAACTAATTCATCAACTTAAAACTTCAACTTTGAAAAAACTCTAGCAGCGCTTGAAGTCGAATATAAGATCTCACTTTCAGAATTTTCCACTACCAATAGAGCTACCATTTTCTGTTTAGCTGTTAGGAACCAGGTAACTGTGTATTTTATTTTCGATATGTAGGTATTACGAAGTAGGTTTGCTGCTAATGAACAATACTCCACAAGAGAGCTTAGGCGGAATTTCACTAAAAACAAATGGATGGTGCCACATTTCATGCAAAAGGCCTTTTTTTTCCTTACCTTGTTATTCTCTTTGGCTGTTCCAGTATTAGCTTTCAGATCAGCATCCTAATGTTATGATAAAGATAAAATCAGAAGAAAATATAGGTTAATATAGGGTAGCTGACAAAGGTAATGGAATCAAACCAATTTTGCTTCAACTTCAGCAAATTCTTCATCCTCCCTGTCAGGTGAAATAGAATAAGACTACATTACAGGCAAATTAAATTTCATTACAAAATGATGAGAACTGATGTCTAGACAAAATACAGTAAAAAGAGGAATGAAGCCAAAATATAAACTATTACCCTTCATTAAATGCATCCCACAGGGACCATAGCCCGAACCCAAAAAACAATAAAGTTGTTATGTGATGAGTCCATTTACGGGAGACCTGCATAATTTACAATTGACGAACATATATCCACTGTTACAACACATTAAAAAAAATATAAAACAAACGAAAGACTTCCTGATTTGTGATGTAAACAATCATAAAAATACGCAAGGCAGTTGCTTTAACTTATATACCCATTTCATCCTTTTTTTTTTTGGAAAGCAAATAAAATCCATGCCTATTTTCTCAACTATAGCAGCACAACAAGCTTAGGAATTGTTATGCTGAAACAATTGTGTAAATGCATTGAAATATTATAAAATATATCGAAATATTATGAAATACCTCAAAATATTAGAATTTCGATTTCATTACTGATTCGTTTCAGTCTCCTTGGAAACAGAAACGTTTCGACCGTTTCGAAACGATATTTTGATCCTTGCAATCAATGTGTCAGATAATCAACACACACACAAACACAGAGTAGCTTATTGGCCTGTTCTGATGTCACTCGAGAGTTCATACTTAATTCTGTAAATGACAGAATCCCATTGACCAATCAAAAAATATATACCAATGGCAGGATCCTTCTGACCATAAAAAGAAAATGATTACGGCAAAAAACATGGTAAGAAATTCTTATTGCCAAGTTTTTCCAGCCCAGGGAATCAGGCTGTGAATAAAAATGAATTCAAATGAACTCATCAAACATTCAAATGATCTTAGATACAATTTGACAACATAAAGTAAAACTGGGTGGATGGAACAGGGTGCAAGGATACTAATGCATCCATAGTGCAGGTTCCATATTTTGGAATTTATATAGAGAATAATTCAAAAGCGGAGGAACGCTTAACGGGTATCTTCATCACCAGTTATGAAGCTAATTGGTCCAACATGAGGTGATTGTTTCAGTTAGTTTCCATTCAGCCTTGCTATCCTGAAGGACAGAACACTGAAAGAGGGAGAGGGAGGAAGGTCTAAGCAAAAAAAAAAAGGTTTCCAGCAGTATTCTAAAGCAACAGAATATTTCTAATCATATTTCTGGACAAAGGGTTTGTTGATTTCCTGATAAATATCAATAACCATAATTTACAGATCATCAGCAAAACTATTATACCATCAGCATAAGGTCCTTGAAAGAATTTGAAGGTTAAATCAAATCTTACCAGATTCGGAGCAGCCCAGCCAACAAGAGCAGATAGAATAGTCATCACCTAGAAATCAGTAAATATATTCGTGATCATAAGGTTTCAAAACCTAATGGATGACATCAACCACAACTTGAATGTAAATAGAGAAGCTACAAGTTCAAAACTTACGATCAAAGATGCCAAACATCCTGTCAATACGAGTCTCCGAGGGTGACGCATTGCCAAGATCTAGAGAATTAAAGAACAAAGCTTTAATTTTACGTAAATCACATTGAGTCAATTTTTTCCCTCCATTTTTCAAAGAGAAATGACATTCTAAGTCCTAATTATGTTCACAAACTAAGTGCAAGTACATTCAAAGACAATTGACCACTATAAGATGAAAACAGTACGTATCAATAATGAAAACTTATTTTTATTATGATAATGCAAGATGAAGAAGTACTTCCTCCCATTATTCTAAAAACTTAGTAAATCATAAGCAGAATAAATGAAGCCAAATCAAAACACACGTTCCATGCTTTTAGAAAAGGAACAAATCCACATGTCCACCTTGACATCGGGGAGTGTGTTGATTGTATTGTCCGTCATTAGAAGCGTATAGTGAAGATGATGTTTTTGGCTGGAAAAAAAATTTTGGGATGAATTTTGTACCATTTAGATGAAAAATTAATCAATCTTATCGGTTGTTGTCCTTTTATAAGTTGAAAATTCAACTTTTTGGCTGTAATAGTAGATAGATGTTCACTGCATACAACGTGCACTTTCTATTAACAGCAGTATCTAAGTTTATCGGCATTGAATTCCCTATAGCACTTTACTGTGTATCCAGTTGCAAAAATCTACCAGCCTAGTAATTTTCTTTTTCTTTTTTTGTCAAAATCTTGCTCCTAATTAAGTAAAAGAAAAGTTCTAACGAACAAATTCAGCATCATAGTTAACAAAGAAATAAAAACTAATAGCTCAATGTTTCAACATGCATAATGAGATTTCAACAATCATGACCTCATTAGAACAAATTGCATTCAACCATACTGAATGATTAAAAATTACTACATGAATAATTCAAAACCAAAAAAAATTACAATCAATCCCACTAACCGCAGCAGCAAAAAACGTCTTGTCTCCGATCTCCGATAGCACAGTCATAGCGAGAGACTTGGTGAATCCCTATCCACCAAACAAATAAAAACCGCCATTAGCAAACACAAATCCAAACCAACTACGTACAAGAATATGGAAAACAGATTTAATAGCACTACATACTTGTGCCACAGAGAGACTCATTCTTGTTTAGTAAAAAACCCTAGATTGAGGAGAGATCAGAGCCCTATCAGTCAGAGCTCAGATGTGTATGAATGTGTGTGTGTGTCTATATATATATATATATATATATATATATATATCAAGTGAGTTCGGAGCTCTGACTCGGCCGGTCGGCTTCGTCACATGAATTTTCCGATAAATGCGCAGAAGCAGACAATATAAGAGTCAAGACAGAAGAAAGTGTGCGCGTGGGTGAACTGTTTAGCGCGTGAGATTCTGTTCCCCGGATAAAGTGGGTCCTGAAAGGATATATGCTTTTTTTTTTTTTTTTTTTTTTAATCTCATTTTACGTTCCGAAAGATTTAAGTTTCTCCACTTTATACCCTTAAAAGATAAAATTTCACATATTTTATCCTTTATAAATTAAAAATATTATAATATAATTCTTTTATTACTTTCTGTTCTTTATTCCGTCAAAATCTATTCTATTGACTTTAATGAAATTAGTAACAAAAGCTAATAAAAAGGTCATATTGCAATATTTTTACAATATTAAAGGCATAAAATAAAAAAATTAATCTTTAAAAATATAAAATAAAAAGTCTTAAATTTTTTCAGGGTATAAAATGTAATTCATCTTTTTTTTTAAACAGGATATATTCTTTGAATTGGGACTTCACCACTTCCGTCCGCATTGGATTCCTTTTTTTCCTTTTAATAAAGTTTACAATTTTTTTTTTTTGAGTGCCTAAAAAATTCTCAAATTTATATTTTACTCTTTTAAAGGTTTATATTTTCACATTATATCCTCAATTAAATAAAAAGACAATAATCTAGTACAAAATTAAATATTTATTGCCTTTTTTGATAATTTTTTTCATTGTATTTGTTGCATTACCATATTTTGAGGTTTTTGTACTATTTATTTTTTTTAAAATTGAGCACATTGCTATACTTTTATTTGATTGAGGGTAAAATATGAGAATTTTAATTTTACAAAGTATAAGTTGAGAATGTAAAGTGTCATTTGCACAATCTTGAGTTAAGATACTAATTTTTAAAATTTTGATGCAATAGAAAAAATTATATCATTTTTAATATTTTAGAATCGATTCTAAGAAAATTATAATATTTTAAAGTTTCAAAAAAGGTTGAGGATGCGAATTCATGTGTATTATATACTTAGTGTTGCAATGAATATAGGAAGATAATAAAATTTGTTGTTAAGAGGAAGAATAAAAGTTAGTGGATGATTGAAAACTACTTAATTTAGAATCAAATGAAAGATGTAAGGAATAACAAAAGTGAACGAATAATTAAAATTTAATTAATTTAAAATTAAAAGAAAGATGAAAGGAAGAACAAAAGTTAATATATAAAACGAAAGATAAAATATTAATTTAATTTTAAATTAAATAAAAAATAAAAGGATATAGAAAGATATGATTGACATTATAACATTAATTAAGGATAAATTTAAAAATTAAATTTTTTTCTTATTAATGTACTTTTATTAGAAGTATATATTTTTTCTTATTAATGTACTTTTATTAGAAGTATATATATATATATAAAATAGCGCGATCATGGAAACTCGCAATGTAATCTCTAGTGGGTACTTTTGACGTAGACTATTGGATTACAATCTAATGGCTACCAAATAAAGATGCTCAAAATTTATTGTCAAAATCTACCTAATTTAGTTCTTAACTAAATAGAAAATATCTATGACTTATTAATCGTAATCTAGTCCTACAAAGAAAGGTTTTAAAGTTAATAAAAACAATTCTTTTTTTTATTAATTAATATTCGAACCTAATGACCCAAATGATTTCATATCTATATACTCATCTAATTTATTATACCCGTTTGGATTAAAAATAAAAAAACTAAAAATACCTCTTCAAACTCATCTCCTCCACGTCAATCTCCTACCGACTATAACTCTTATACTCAAACCCTCCTCCCTACTATTCTTGTCGTCTGTTCATTGACTCAAGTAATTTTGTCATGATTCATGCCCTTTGTTGCACTTAAGCTGGTAGAATAGTTTAATCAATTGGTCACTTAATTATTTAGTTGGTTAAATTATGGGTTGTTAAAGGTTTTGGTGATGTAACTTCTAGGTTAAAAGTCTAAAAGTGGTGGTATTGATGAGTTATGTTCGACATATTGATTTAATAAGTCAGTATCATTTTTAAAATTTAATGTCTAAGTCTTTTTTTATTAGGGACAAAAATACAATATGTTCGCCAAATTCCACTGTACAGATATTATTTGTCCATGTCTTTTTAAAGTTAGCAATCAATTGCAAATTTTTTTTTTTTCTGGAGGTAATTTGATGTGTAGTTATATTGTATCAAGTCAATAGGTTTTTTATACAAGTGTGGAAAATTGACATAGTGACAAATATGGAAGGGATCGAAATCATACCTTTTGTCCCTAAAGATGTAAAACCATTTTTTATGAAATAATTCAATTCTATTGATGAATCATTTACTTTTTACAATGCCTATACGTGGATTTCTCATATGCAATCCTAATTTTAAACTTAATAAGCACTCCTAATTGTAAAATTATGGTATTAAGAGGACAAACTAATGTTTATATAATGAACCAAAAAAAGAGAGAGGAATAATTGGTAATTTGACCAAAGAATTGGAAATACCTATAACCCTTTATGTTTATTTTTATTTATTTTTAACCAATAAAGGCATAATAAATTATATGGGTAAAACCATCGTAGCAGTGCAACAGTGGTGCAGATTAGCAGTAATTCTTTCACATTAAGATAGGGGAACCATTCTGTCATTGGGTTAAAAATTTTAATAGATGGGTAAAGATAAAAATCATCCAGTCATTGGGTCTTTCCGTTAATAATTAAGAGGAATCAAGAATTTTTTTATTTATTAACCTTTAAGACTTTTCTTATAAGACTAGATCACAATTAATAAGTCGTAGATATTTCCTCTTTAGTTAATAACTAAATTAGGTAGGTTTTGACAATAAATTTTGAGCATCTTTGTTTGGTAATCATTAGATCGTGATCTAACGGTCTATATAAAAGGTATATATTAGAGACTATGATGTAGAGTTTTTATTATGACGCTACTCTATATATAAATTTAATAGAATTTTTTCGTAAGTTACTCAAAAAATTCAATTGAACTAAAAAGTTAATTATTTAATTGGAAAATTTGGATGTTGGTCCTCTTTTGTAAACTTATTTAACGATAAGCTTATCAAGGAAACTTGTTTAATATTAAGTTCATTTTGATCTCTATTATCCAAAATACCCTCATTATTTATATTTAATTACAACAAATTTGAAAACTAACAACTTCTAAATTTTAGAAATCTGATTAACATTAAAATTCTCTCTCATATCTATCTACTAGTAATTGCCCGTGCCTTAATAATAAAAAAAAATTATGATCAATTAAAAGGCGTATCAAATAACTTTGTGCTATGAACATTGAGAAATACATCTTTCATTGCACCATGATCCACTATTTAAACATTCAATCACTTGTTTAGTAACACTACTGCCAATAATATATTATATGTAATTATAACTACACATATGAATCTCATATCAAAATAGTTTGTATAACAAACAAAATTTCAATAATTAATATAAACAATCTATTATTTAAAAAAAAAAATCAACAGAATTCTCTTTAAAAACATGATCCAACACACAATATCAACTTGTGTACAATAATCAAACGTATACGTAAATAAAAACTATCTTGCATCAATAATCTCATCACATCACATATTGTTGTTACCACTATTTGTCAAATGCTGCAATATAATGACCCAAATATCTAATACCATAATGAATAAGATACAAATATAAACTAAACTAACATCAAACTTAAGCTAATATGAATAACTAAGTACATTCATTCACCCCGTGTAAGCCAAATAATTGTCAATTAAAAAATTAAAATCCACTAAACAAAGTTGAAACTCGAGCGCTAGTTGATTTTCAACATTGTTGAAATTAATTGGAGTCACCAAGTTTTGGCAGAACCCCAAAGGCATCGCACTCACCAACTGTAATCCTGCCTTAATAAAAAGATTTACAAACTACCACAACATAGACTCACTAATATTCATGCAATTAATGACAAACACAACAAAATTTTTTCCCTAAACAACACACAAACTCACATGAAATCACCCACATTTCTTGTTTTATGATCCCTTGGTTATAAAAAAAAAAAAAAAAGAATTACAGTTTAACCATTCGTTTATTTTGCGTCAATGTTGATCAAGCAATGAAAGCAAGGGAATAAATAAAAGAAATAAATAAAAGAAAGCTACTTCAACATGAATACAAATCTCATTTCTCAAAAAAAAAAAAAATAGTGGATGAGTTCTTGATATCCAACTACTATGTGGATGAAGTGAAAAAAAAACATTGAAATGGTTGTTAGTGCAACTTAGTAATCAAGACAATTGCAACCATGTAACATAAAAATAGAATTCTAGTAGGCAATTCTACTAAATTGATTCTTTAAAACATGTTATTATGTTAATTGCTTCTTGAATTTTCTAGTCCTGCAAAAAAATAATTTCAATGAAAGTGAGAATCACCTTCTAAATTGAACACTTAATCCAATAGCAACAACATCATCATTTTGATCCTATTATTTAAAACATAAAGATCATATTCATCTTCCTCTTGGCAACTAAACATCATATTCATCTTCACCCCTTTCACTCACCGCCTTTATAAACCCACTTCCAGTCTGTTCAATGTGAAAAGGAAATTAAAAAAAAAAAATCATTCTCATATCAACAATATCATTTATACATAATTTACAAATCAAATCCATCGTTACAATATCATTAAATTGACTACGGATCTTAATAAATATAGAGATCAATTGTCAATTCAATAATCGATCTATAATGATTAATGAAATTAATAAATTATGTTAAAAAATTACGTCTTTTCGATTTTACCAGACAAAACATGCTAAATATACAAACCCGCAACAACTAAAATG